TGAAATGCTCCCAAAAATGGCTCCACAGCATGTAAACATATAATATAAGCTCTGGCGGACTTGGTTCTATGGTAGGTCTTAAAGGGTTAAAGTCACAAACACCTACGGGGCAACAAACATGTGCAACAATACAACTGTGTGACGCACATTAGCTTTATTTCCTTAAGATAATTAAATATGTTATAGATTATAAACTAGAGACAGGTTGAACTATGGAAAAAACAAAGTGTCGTTGTATGTGTGTTGGCACTGTTAACACACAGAGTTTATCAGAGCCTGTAGTCTGAGTAAAACCACTGTGTGGATCCACCTGCACATATTACACGTGATTTATATATGAATCGAGTAAAATATGTTTTATTTATTGTTATTACTTGTTTCCTTTCTTTTTTTTCTTCAATAGCCCGCATCAGCCAGAGGAATAGGCATTCAGGTTATCCACAAGTGGAGTCAGATGCCTCGTAAAAGACCTCTACTTGTGCAGAAGTGAGTAATCCTTTGATAGTTTAGAGCTCAGCAGCCTAAGTAACTCAATGTTGGTGCATTAACATGCTCTAACTGGATGTTTGCAGGTATCTAGATAAGCCCTACCTCATCAGCGGGAACAAGTTTGACTTGCGGCTCTACGTCTACGTGACATCTTACAACCCGCTCAGAGTCTACATGTTCTCAGATGGACTGGTTCGATTTGCTAGCTGCAAGTGAGTTTCCCACCGCGTTGCTCGTGCCACTTAATTTCACACGGGATGCATATGAATAAGATTGAGTTGTCACCCCTCCATGCCTCTAGGTATTCGTCTTCCATGAAGACTCTGAGTAATAAGTTCATGCACCTGACCAACTACAGTGTCAACAAGAAGAACTCTGAGTACCAGACCAACAGTGATTACAAGGCCTGCCAGGGGCACAAATGGTAACTGAAGTGTGAATTGTAGAGAATGTGACCTTTTGACCTTTGGACACAGATGTAGGCAGCTTTTCAACGCTGTGCCAGGCTTTTTTGAAAGAGTTTTCCTTGGAGCCCGTTTCTACTCCTCGTCCGTTCTCTGGCTGTAGCGTCCAGCGGACAGCTTATCAAGGAGCTTTTAGTATAACCTGATAAGGAAATGCAATAGTCCAGCGTAGTGTAGAATGTCTTCGCTGTTTCTGTATGTGTGACTTGGGAGGATATTACTTTGTGTTTTCAGGGCTCTGAAGGCCTTGTGGCAGTACCTCGGGTCAAAGGGAGTCAATACCACCCCGATATGGGAGAAGATTAAAGACATCGTGATCAAAACTATCATAGCGTAAGTTTGCCTGCTCAGTGGCTGGCTGCAGAGATCAGTTTGTTTTTATTATCTTTTAGCTAAAACCATCTGCATCCATAACCTGTGATATTTCTTTAGATGTGTATTTCAGTGCAGAAATTGTGATTTCTTTCCACTGAGGAACATGTCCTTACAAACAGGGTTTTAATAGTTTTGCAATTTTCATTAGTTTTT